ATGTGCTTTGTATTAGATTCCCCCCACCCCTGTCAAGCAAACAAAATGCTCTGCTCCCAGAAGAGGCTTGTGTATTAAGCAGGGTGATGAACACTTTTTTAAAGGGATGTTATTGTCTAACAGAAATGGGAAGTAATTTGGGGTCCCACAGACATGAAGTATGTTAAGAAGCATACATAACGGATATCTACAGATTTTGAAAATACCTTTTTTATTTTACTTTATCCTTTCAGGGTTTCTGCAATGGTTTATATGTGAGGATTGTCTTTTCTTGTCAAGAGAAATAGAAGGAAAGAAAAAAATCCAAAACCTGTCCTCCCACACAAAGCAGAGAAAAATAATTATTTTGCATGACTTTTGCCTCTCTAATTGAATGAGTTTGTGCATAGTTTGTTAAACTGTGGAGAAAAAAATAAAGATTATTATACAATCAAAACAGATCTCTCAAAGCATAATGTAAAATATAGCACTGGATCCTCTTAATCTTCTGTGAAAGTGCTGCATGTATGCTATGATCCATGCTTTCTTCCCAACCGCCCCCATCCAGTATCCATGATTTAGAAGTAACTCAATAAACAGAGACAGGAAGCAAGCAGGGTTAGGAGATGAGCAGGTTTGGATCTCTCCAATTACCATGGTGACCAGACTACCCAATTGGTTACCTTTCCACATTCCAAATACTAGTGGATAATAGGTGCTACCAAGTACTTGATGTCATTCCCAGAAGTACAGTCATGAAGTTAATGTTAAGTGTTCACCCTTCCAAAACTGTAGCAACTGATATTTTATCATTCTTACTACTTTTTCAGATATTGCAATATCTGGAATGATGCTCTCATAGCACTGCATGGGAATTTGAGGAGTTCGGTAAAGTAGTTAAGAGTGCCTTCCTGTGACTCCATAGCCATGAGCTGAAGTCTTTCCCCAGGCTTGTGTTGAACATTGCTTCCCAGTCAGCCTAGCTATAACTGGGTACCTGGACAGTTGGGCTTGAAAGTCAAAGGTTGCTCGATTAGATCTAGTCACATTACTCCCTTGTGTGCTGTTGGTTACAGACACTGTCATGCCTTACCCCTTGTTTAGCCCAACCAATCACCTAGGCCCAACTTGGTAGATATTTTGCTTTTGCTCTCTGTTCTTAAATGTTGCCTTTCCTCCTATTTTTACATTTTTCACTATATCAGAAAGGATTATGGGGAAATATATATATTTTTTAATGATGCTTTCTGTAGTGTTCTCTTTTATTCCTGGAGATTGTTTGTTTTTAATTAGTTCAAATATAAACATTGGAATAATCTGTATTCGGAAAGTAAACTTTATTATGGCAGATATAATATTGAACTTGCAATTCATTGTGAATTCATGATTATGAGCAGTTTTCATACTTTGGCTATTTACAATCAAAATCTATAATATTTAAGCACCTGGCCAGATTTTGGATATTTACATGCTGGGACTTTCACATGTAAAAACCAGAAGCTGGATAGAAAGTCCTTTAATAATGAGGCCTTTTTCAAAGGTCATGAACAGGTGCTTATTTTTAGCAGTGGTCTGATGTGGGAGGGAGTGGAGCAGTGGGGCAAAGCCCGTAGTTGGTTCCTGAGACCAGGTAGCTTCTTGTCTGAGGAATCATGGGGAACCTTGGTTTAGGAGTGAGGAAGTGGAGCAGGATACAAGCATTCATTCTTACAAGAGAAACTTGTCAACCTAGAAGATTGTTTTTCCTAGAGAGGGTGTGTTTCCTCTGGGAGAAATTGAATGACTGCTTGTACGCTCCTAGTTTTTACCAGGACAGTGGCAGTTCTCCCAGTAGAAATGGCCCGTGCATGGCTTAAGTCTACAGCTGTTAAAGCAAAATCAAGATGTTGAGTTCATTCCATTAGATGCAATAGTCATCTTCAAAACAGTAAGCCAAATTGTTCTGTAAGGAATATGGCTTGCTATGAAAATTGCCTTAGTTATACAGAATTAGTTATGTTAAAGTGGGAACAGTTCTACCTAACTGGTTAGACTTGATTATTATTGTGGTCAAGAGACTGGCTATAAACAGATACCGGACATCTTCAATAAATCTAAAGTGTTATACCACCAGTTGAAATCAATGGATTTATAGTGGGGCTTGATACAAAGTCCTTTAAAATCAATGGAAAGACTTCCATTGTCTTCAGAGGGCCATGGTTTAGGTGAGGAACATTTTGTTCATACCAGGTCCCACCAGCAAGTGGCATATGAATCTGGAATATGACTGCCAATTGTGTGATGTAACCAAGTAGCTTCTGGGCTTGGTAAAGCACCAACAAACATGGGCTGTTCTGAAGAGGAAGAAACTGATAAAAGGTTTTAAAAAGTACCTGATTCCATTGTTCAACATTTAAAAAAAAATCTTTAATGTTAGAGTAAGGAATAAATACTACTGCTACTCGCTGCTAAACTTATTTATAAGTACTTGCCCGTTTAAGGTAAGCCTGTCTCCAATTCTCAAAAAAAAGAGCAAAAATGTTACATACTGTTACAGAGCTTGGCAGTAATTTGCTGAGAGAAATGACTTATAGTTACCTTGGCTGGATTCAATTGTGTATCACTGAGAACTTCCCTTAAACACCTGTTTAACAGCTTGGCAACACTGAAAGCATGAAATCAGAACCGCATATCCTTCTGCCTGCTAAGTTTATTGGAACTTTAAAGGCTCATAGATACATTCCTCTTGAACCCTCTAACCTCTGCTACTCAACTCAGTCCTCATAACCTTTCTAACACAGTTAAACTAGCTTTCATTTTGTTCTGTGGTCCTGAAAAATAGCTTTTAAGGAAGTTGCCAGTTTTAACTGTCTAGACTATTCACATTAAAAGGTGTTAGTGAAAGGGATCTAAACAGCAAGGGATCTACATTTCAAATGCTCTAAATGGCAGAGGTGCTTCCAGTAAAAGTTTTGATTCAGGTAGCTCTATTGTGGAAATAGGGCCCAGGTGTAATATGGAGCCACTATCAAGGGTGCCTATATACAACTGTGGAGGCTGCTCTGTTGTACTATAAATACACCACATCATAGCAGACTCAATTAATTGAGTCTGCTTCAGCGTGTTTAGCATGCTCCACAATTACCACACTCCAGCCAGCCTCCACATCTCGTGTATCAGCATCCCTGTGCTTCAAAATGGTGGCAGGGTATAGCAGTGTTTTAGATAAAATGCCCCTGCTGCCATTTTGAGGCATGGGGAAACTTATACACAAGGCACTCTGGGCACTTTAATTAGACTGGCTATTGGAACCGCTCCAATTTAGAACACCCCCCCACCCCCCCAATTGTCAGAGCACATATATAGCTACCCCAAGTTTGCAGGCTCAGTTCTGCCCTGTGCCAGAGCAAAAGTTGGGAACTGGAAAGGACTGGGCTTTGCTTGTACACTGGAAAAAGGATAGCATATTTTAGGTAGTGCTGTTGGCAGATCTCCTGCTGGCAGATCTCCTGCCAGCAGAGTCGCATTGTGCCAGCACATTACTGGGCCTCTCTTGATCTGATCACAGACAGTCCTTCCTGCTCCTTCTTCTTATTTTGTAGGGCAGCACAGCTCTGATGGAGACGTTGGTAGGCAGCAGAGTGGGTACAGATACTGACATAACAATTTCCATAGCTTTATACTGGCCAGAGAATCCATCTACACAAGGAAAATCCTTCAGGGAATTTTCCCATCCGGTTTAGATTCCCTCTGTCATGTATGACCAGTGCTGAAAAAACTTTAGATCACTAGAGAATTGGCCCCTGTATTCTTAATGGCTCTGAAGTTTGTGATTGTTCAGATCTCAGATTTTGATTGAGGGCCATCTCTTCTGAAATACACAGCTCTCTCAGTTGTCCTGCTTCCAAACTCCAAATAGTGGGGTCTAGCACTGCTGGGGCCTGGATATTTAATGCAGTTGTACTGGTATACTTTACACTGGTTTTGTACACAGATATAAATTAAACTTGGATCTGAAATGGACAGATGAGTAGCTGCAGGCAGTAGACGGTTATTAATGTACCTCACAATGAGGTGACAAGGGAACAGGTATTAGCTTGTTTACCATCAGCAAATAGCTAGTTTAGGAGCTGCTGAAACACAACACCTGCAAGGTATAACTTTTTCCTTACAATAAGTGTATAACTTACCCAGATCATCAGACTAATCCTACATCAGATTGAAACTATACTGGTGTACTGTATGTTTATATAAATATTATGTATTTTTAGAGATACATAGATATGTTTACCCCTTTATCACACTGATAAAATGTTGATTTTAGCGGGGTAATGTGCCCACTCCCTCAGTCTGTTTCATTACTATCTCATCACAGTGATGAAAGCAATGTATAGCTACTTTAAGTGACCATAGTATACCATTAGGTAATGAGTTCAATGCTTGTTCCTGATTTCTGCACCAAAGTGCACAGGTATGTAAATGCAAGAACAAATTTTACTGGGGCAGGTGAAGAGATCAGACTCTAGTTGTCTATTCCACTAAAATTTTCTGATCACTTGCCCAGACACTTTTCTATTTTTTTTTCATAGAAAATTGTGTAAGTGTTGGAAATTGGGAAAGTTTTGACACTTTTGAGATTTGCCCATAAATAATTAGTTGCAATCACAGTGAACAGATCTTTTTAGAACAGTGCTATGTTAATTTATAAAACACTGATGGGCTAGTTAGGAAAGCCAAGCTTTAGGCCCCAAGGAGGGAGAGTCTTAGCTTTCATTTAATAATTAAGTAAGTTTGCAGTCCTACTCCTCACAGAGATATCCTTGAAAATGTAAACTACTTATCAGAGATGAAAGTAACAAGCAGCTTGGCTCTACTTCTGCAGCATAAGGTCATCTTTGTGCATAGTGATGTGGAAATAGAAAAGGGAGACTAATGGACATGTTGGGCAGGAGTGGCAAATATTGACTAAGTTTTAAACTTCAAGAACGTTCATTTAAATTTACTTCCCTAACTCACGTTAACTTTTTTTTTATCCTTTGCAGAGGACATTTCTCAAAGCTGAAAGTGAAGAAGAAATTTTTGCCCATCTTGGCTTGGATTACATTGAACCATGGGAAAGAAATGCCTAAACAGCTTTGCCTGTATAACTTCATCAGCACTTAGAACATTGTCAGTGTCTGCTTGTAGACTTCACTGCTATAGCACCTTTTGAAATGAGAGATATGCCTCAAATATCAGTGTGCCTTCGCTGTTTATCAAGAAAATTATGGGAAAAAGTTAGAATTCATTATAGATGCTAATATTTTAAGTGCTTGTAGAAAATAATATGTGGGAGATGAAATTTCATCACAAGTTTTGGACAAGAGTGTCAAGTTAGTGTGTTTTGAATGTTTTCAGACATTGTGCTTGGTAGTTGTGCAAGAATAGATTGTGAAATTTTAATAATAGGTTAGCCAATCACTTGTTTAGGGTGGTTTAGATGAGGATAACCCTGTCTTGAGTGGGGGGAAGAGGGCAGTTAGACTTAATGACCTCCTGAGGCTCTGTCCAGCCCTACTTTGTTTTGATTCTGTGAAATAAAAACCTTACGTAAAAATGATTGTTTTGTGTCACTCTCTGTATTTCCTTCAAATCCTGCACCTCATGGTGCTCAAACATTTATTATGGCAACTGGGGATAATTGTGACACATGGAACTGTTAGGCTTTGTCTGGTACCTGAGAATGGTCACAAGAGTGGCAGAGAAATTTAGGAGCTGGAGGGACTCCTAAAACTCAGGATAATAATCCTGTGCCCAGTCATACCTTGTCATAACACAAAGCAGACCTGTCTTAGGACAGAGTCTGGGACACAATTTGCCAAGAAGGTAAATTCCAATATTAGAGTTGAATTGTATCAGTGGCTATTAGAGCAAATTGGGAAATGCGCTTCTGTATCATGAAAATTCCCAAGATTTCAACATTTTCCTGTGCACTGGATTCATGGTTTTATGAAACATGGATCAAGACCCCTTAGTGTAGCCAATAAGTAAATATTGGAACAATTGGGATGTAGGTGGCCTGTATCGGAGTCTCTGCTTTTCCAGCTGCACACCAAGTACTTGAACCACAGTATCCCAAATCTTGGCTGTCCTAACTACCATGTTATTGATTATTCTCTATTGGGGGCACTCTCTGTATCATGCTAGCGCTGATCTACTTTCAAATTAATAATTAAATATTAATTTAGAAATTTGAACCCAAATGGTCTACATCCCAGATGAATGTTCTTGGTCTACCTTGACCAGAAATTCTTTCCTGAACCTGAAAAGTCTTTGTAACTGATAGCTTCCCTTAAAAAGTATTTAAAAATCCATATTTTATGCCAAAGCATTTTTTCTTAGAATATTCATGGCCCATTTTAGTGTCTATTATAGAAACAATAACAAGATTTGTAACGTATTTATGCTTTAATGCAATTCTTCCCAACAAGAACATGTTTTGCTTTAAAATGTAAGGTAATTAAAATGTAACTATTAATTTAAGTTGTAAATTAAAGGTGATGACAACACCAGGAGTGGCCAACTAATTTTCTCTCTAAAAGCAGAGAAACTCTGAAGGCTAATTTCACATCTCCAGATGATAAGGGAGAAAAGGAGAGTGAGGGGGACCATGTACAGCTATTATTACTAATAGTAATGGCTTCCCATATTTAAATTATATCAATATCCCATGGCAAAGTGGACTTTAAAGGTTCCACGTATGCATAAAATATGTCAAAACTAAGAAATAAATTGACAAAACTACTGGAAGACTGATTTAAAGTGCTGAAGTTACAGCTGGTAAGAGGTAATTATAAATAGGAACCCTTCAGAAGCTGGTCCCAAAAAGTATTGTGTTTTTAAATTAGTACCACTGTGAAGATAAGTTCTAGTACACATTTTATATGCAAGCATTGGACTCTAGTTAATGAAATAAATAGAAAACTACCCATTCTTTAATCTAGGGTAATCTTAATTCATAGTGACTAGGTTTAGTAAAAGGAATGTTTTGTAAAAGTATAGGCACAAATTTGTGACAAAGACACTTACACGACAGGTTTGAAACCGAAACATTATTCTCACATTTTTACTGGTCCCAGTCAACTAGGGAATGGATTCTCAAAATTGTATTAAACTGTATTAAAATTAAACCAGGGAAATAGAAAAATGTGATAATGGCATGGAATTTTATTTTTGCCTGAGCCAATAAATCCATTCCCTTATATGAAGCTTTGCTAACTGAGCTGAAAATATAATGCTACCTTCAAAATTGCTGTAACTAGAAAGCACTCATATTGCTTTCTGCTTCATCATCATGCCACTACATGAAGTACTTTCCACAGTGTTTCACATCAAGATGCTGACACTGAAGCAGCAATGAGATTTTTTTCAGTCCTAGTGCATGAGAACAAAAGCTTTAGCTGCTTTCCCAGATATACTTCTTCAAGCAAAAATTTGTTAGAAATTATATATTCTGGTGGTGCTGTTTCTGCAGATTTCATACCACAGAGGAAGTATTTAACATTCTTATAATCCACAGAAAGAAGCTTTTGCAACCTATAACTCCCATTTTCCCTGCATATGCATTTCTCATAATTATGCCACCTGTAGGAAGAAGTATGACAAACAGATATATACCAAAGTTTCCAGTATGGGAGAAAATATGGCAACGTTTTGTCCTTTCTGTCACTTCCTTCATTTTAAAAAATATTTTGGCATATGGGAAAATAATATTGCAAATGTCTTGAAAAAGAATGACAGGATTGAATAACAAATATTTACAGTGAATTAATGACTTACAGCATTATTATTGTTAGGGGCAAGATTCTTTGCCCTGTCTTATGCAGGAGGTCAGACTAGATGATCATAGTGGTGCTTTCATGAAGTCTATGAAAAAGTCACTTTTTGTATTTACACCTGTCTGAAAGGAGCAGCTATACTAGTTATTACCATAGTCATCACAGCATTCTGATAACGGACACCAGTGTAAATTGGGGAGTGACCTGAAACATTCAGAGTTGGACTGTATGTCAAGTATGAGGCTTAGAAGAAATTGGTAACAAAATGGCCTCTGATAGCGCTGCATTGCCCAAGTCACAGCATATGCCGAGGCAAAATGAAGTATATATTGTTAGCAGAGGATGGACACAGGAACAGAAACAAATTTCATAACAAGGACAAGTAGGTCATTTCTTGAAAGAGGAGGAGTGGAAAAGAAAATCAACAAACAAACCAAAAACCCCAATAACAACAAGAGGAGGATTTCAATACCTAATATTTAATCAGCTTCAACATGTTACAGAACAGTTATTAACTATGCCATATTTTAAGTAATAACTGAGGCCATGGGGATTACAGAAGCTGTGACCAGACCTGTAGGGGTGGCTATCTCCCTGCTTCACGATTCTGCACCCCTCCCCTCCCCTCCCCCCCAGGGAGGACAGACCACACTGCAGGAGCAACAGTCAGAGATTTTTTTTAAGTCCCCAAATCAGGTAAAAATCCTGCCTGCTTCCCCCTCCAGCAGCTCCTCTTTTCTCAACTCATGCTCCCCTTACCCTCTCCTCCCATAACTGCCGCTGTCCCTAGGGCTAGGGACACACATTCAAAAAGCCTGAGCCTGAGTTGATTCAATGTTTGCAGGTTAGTCTAACCTGCCCTGGTTGAATCAGGTTGCTACTGCACAGACATTCTCTCTGGACTGAGGAGATGCAGGCACATGCCTGCACTGGCTCAGGCTTAGAAGCTGGGCTGGGGCGGGGGGTGCTAGAGCAAACCTCCCTTCCCTTCTCCAGTTCTGAGCTGAGCAGGGCATAGCCAGGCACCAGCAGGATGTTTGGATTAGGGAGCGGTTTAAACCCCCACCATGGCTTGCACAGTACTAGACATTTCCCTACTTGCTGCTCAACGGGCGGGAGTGTTCCCAGCCCCCAGCTAGCACTCTGAGGCAAAGCAGGGATATGCAGTGCATACATCTGTTGATGATACTGAGCTTTTCAATCTCCCTCTCCCTGCTTCTTCATACTGTCTGCAAACCTGACAGGCAAGGGAGTCAGCAGGTAGCTGATAGCACAGTGTTTAGCAGCCCATCAAAAAACAAAAGCCTCTCTCATTAATTCAAGCTCTTCTTAAACAGCTTTTTCCAAGGAAAGAATGGAGGGACATTATCAGGTGACATGTTGATTAGCTCCACAAAGCCCTAAGTGGACACTGTTCTGTCTGCCTGTCCCAGTGAAATTGGAGACACATACACATATAGACACATCTCAGCATTAGCTAGCATACCACATGCCTAAGGTCCATGGGGCTGGGGTCCGTACTGTGGGAGATGGGAAGGGGGGAGGGGGGGTCCTTGCTTGAGCAGCAAGGCAGGGAAAGCCAGGGAGACCCTGCTGTGCCTGCAGTCTGCACCAGAGCTCTGGCTAGGGAGCAGAGGGGTGGGGTCAGCCCTGTTCTCTGGAGCAGAGAGCACAACCCTGCCCAGCCCAGCCAAGCCAAGGGCTGCAAAGCATCTGGGATGCTGCGGAACTCTGGTTTAACTTAAACCAAGAAGGAGTCTGGGACAGACGTTGCATAAACTGGTTTGACCCAAATCAGTCAAGTCTATATTCAACCAGGTTTATCTTAATCCAGTTTCAGTCATTTTGAAACTGATTTAAACCTGTAACAGAACATAAATTCAGTGCATATAAACCAGTTTCTAATCACTTAAACTGGTTTCTGTTTAATGTCTGTGCCTAGCCTGGCTGACTCAGGAGCAGGGGAGCTCCAGCCTGTCTGTGCAGGAGCTGAGCTTAGCTAGGGACAGTGTTAATGGTGGGTGGGTTCCACCTTCTTGTGTCTGCTCCCAAGCTGGCAGGAAACAAGTGGGGATCAGGCAGGGAAAAGCACCACTGCCACTGCTGCTGTTGTTGAGCCAGAGCCTAGCTCCCTGTACATCCTAACTGGAGTGAAGCAGGGGTGGTACTGGGGCTCCCTCTGCCCCTGGGTCAGCTGGGGACAGCAGCAGTGTTGGATAGGGGAAAGGGGGGGAAGTATCAATAAGCACAGAGGGAAAAGGAGGAGGCATGATTCTTACCTGCTTTGAGGACTTAAAAAAGTCCCCAGCTGC